AAAAAAAAAAAGCGATCTCGTCGAAGCTTGTCCCTGCCGTGGAAAATACAACAAATCCACAGTACAGAAGATGCTCTGTATCTGTTTCTAATAAGAGAAACCTGCACACAAGTGTTTGACAACAAGCCATATCTCAAAAACTTGCCAACTTAAATAAGAAATCTCTGCAAAAGAACAACTTCATATACATACAAAGCTCATGAAAACCATACCTTAGAGAGAAAACTAAGCGCTTCCTTTCTTGAGTGATGATCTAGTGCCCATCAAGAAGAACATACATTACATCCCTATAGTATAGTCAACAGGTTAGATTTCACCATTGTTGGTGATAATAGCACATTACACTCTGGAGATAATCAAGGCAGCAATTAACTAGAAAATCACTCCTAGTATCAAGGATCAATCCATGGAAATCAAGACGTTATGAGGAGCTGATTAGTTGTGTATATAAAATCTTAAATAGCTTTCTTTATAGAGCTGATACTGTTATTATTATTAGACTGTAATAGTTTTCTGTATAATGCAACATTCTACACCATAAGCATTAGTTGTGGTTTTCATTATTGTCTCTAAAACTTTTCATGGTATTAGAGCCTCTATAGGATTAATCTCCACTTGATCTTATGGCCTCAGAAAATTCTTTCATACTCTCTTTCAATACTATGGTTCACATGGTAACTGTGAAGCTATCACCAACAAATTTCCTTCTTTCTCGCAGTCAGGTAGTTCCCCTGTTGCAATGTCAAAAATACTATAGATATATTGATGGCTCAACCCTTATGCCTTCCACTATCACTGATTCCACAGCCTACAATCTTTGAAAACAAAATGATCAGTTAGTCATAAATCTTCTTCTTTCTTCTCTCTCAGAAGAAGCACTTTCTATTACCATTGGATTCATAACATCACATCTGGAACGCTCTTGAAACTACCTTTAGTCTCAAATCTAAAGCTCATGAACGTCAAATAAAAGATGAGCTTCATCTTATGAAGCGTGGCTCTCGTAGTATCTGTCTCTGAGTACTCTAGAGTATTCAAGGCTCACTGTGATCAATTATCTGTAATGGGATGTTCAGTTGAAGACACTGATAAAGTGCACTGGTATTTGCATGGTCTAGGCCACGAGTTCTCAAGTTTCTCCACCACTCAACTCTCTTTAACTCTCATTCCAAGTTTCAAAGATATTGTTCCTAAAGCAGAAAGCTTTGATCTTTTCTCCAAGTCTATTGATTATACTGCAGGTGGCCCCTCTGCTTATATGATTCATTCCTCTGCATCTTCCAACCGACATGCAAGGCCATATAATAATCAGAACAGGTATAAAAAAGGCCACTCAAAGGGAGGAAATCATGGAAAGTAGCAGTATAGCAGGCCTCCTCGATGTCAAATATGTCGAGAAGAAGGTCATTATGCCATGAACTGTAAGATCAGATACACAAAATCTGATGCAAACATTGTTGAAGCACTTGCAACCTGCATTATCAGTAACGACACAGCAGATTGGTATACTGATACAAGAGCATCTGCACACATGACTCCTGATGTGTCTCAGCTTGATAAAATGGAACCTTACACTTGTAAGGATAGAGTTATTGTTGGTAATGGATCTTCCCTATCTGTTACACACATGGGTTCCTGCTCTCCTACTCCAACTCTTAAATTAAAAGATGTCCTTGTTGTGGCAAACTTAACCAAAAATTTACTTTTTGTCAGTAAATTAACCAATAATTTTTCTTTTGTTGTTCTTTTTACTGACAATAAATTTATCATATAGAATCTTCAAACTCAAAAGATGGTGGACACCATGTTTTCTCTGCTATCATTAACAAGCACAATTTATGCCATTCCTTTAACATTTGGCATGCCCATTTAGGCCATATATCCTCTCAAATAATTTCCATGCTTAATAAAAAAAGGGTTTTTTTATCTCTTACCTCTATATTGGCAAATCCATCCTTATATGTTAGTTGTTAAAAAGCTAAAAGCCATAAATTATCTTTTCCCTTAAGTGATAGTCGTTCTCAAACAGTTTTAGGATTGATACATTGTGACTTATAGGGACTAGCACTAATAAACTTAATCTCTGGATATTGATATTATGCTATTTTTATCGATGATAACTCTCGCTTCACTTGGTTCTATCCATTAAAGCACAAAGCTGATTTTTATCACACCTTCATCAAATTTCAAACACTTGTTGAAAATCAATTCTCAACAAAGATAAAAACATTCCAAAGTAATTGGGGGAGGAGAATTCACAACTACCATTTTGTCAATCTCACTTAGACAAATATGGTATTTATCATCAACGTTCTTGTCGCTATACACCTTCTCAAAATGGTAGAGCCGAGAGAAAACATCGACATATCATTGAGATAGGCCTTTCAATGCTCTTTCATGCAAATGTTCCTCTTAATTTTGGGGTTGAAGTCTTCAGTACAGTCATTTTTGCAATTAATCGCTTGCCCACACCTGTATTGAATGGAGTTTTTCTATTTGAAATTCTATATGGTAAGTCTCCTACCTATGAATTATTTTGTATTTTTGGCTGCTTATGTTTTCCATACTTAAGAGATTATACTAAACATAAATTTGAACCCAGAAGTCTTCCATGTATTTTTCTTGGTTACAATTCATCTTATAAAGGATTTCGATGCTTAGATCCTAAATCACATCGAGTATTTATCACTCAACATGCTCAGTTTGATGAAACAGTCTTTCCATCATCTTTATCTCATATGCAGTCTTCTCCTACACTATCAGATTATATTTCTTTTCATGATCCTAGCTCCTCAACTTTTCCTTCGTCTAGCACTCATTCTTCTGCAGGTTCTCGGTCCTTACCATCAATCACTCCATCTATATCATGTAAATTATGTGCCTTGGAGTTGCCCCAGAGTCCACCAATTTCGCTGCCTCCTGTATTTCCTACAATAGCTGAGAGAGTTTCAGAATTGTCTGTTGTGTCTACTTCCCAAATTAAGCCAATTTTAGATATACCGACTGCACTGGCTCAACATTCTTCTTCAAATCAAAACTCCCATCCCATGTTAACCCGTGAAAAAGCTAGTATCTCCAAATCCAAACATTATAATTATGTTTGTCAAATTCCTGCCTCTCCTTTGTTATCATTGCTATTAGCTATGAAGGAACCAAAAGGATTCAAAAGTGTTGTTAAATCACCCGAATGGCTAACTGCTATGGACGATGAAATTTGTGCTCTCACTCATAGCCAAACATGAGAACTAGTTCCTAGACCACCTGCTACCAATGTGGTTGGATCCAAATAGATTTTTTAGATTAAATATCATTCTGATGGCTTCATTGATATGTTCAAAGCACACCTAGTTGCTCAAGGCTATACTCAACTCTATAGACTTGATTTTCACTACACATTTAGTTCGATTGTTAGAACTTTTACAGTCCGCATTATCCTCTCTATTGCAATAACTCGTGGCTCGAACATACGTCAACTTGACGTTAAGAATGTTTTCCTTTATGGTCTTCTTCAGGAAGAGGTTTTTATGGAATAACCATCCAGTTATATTGACACTTCTCATCCATACCATGTTTGTTGTCTAAAAAAAAGCCATTTATGGTTGGAAACACTTCTCATCCACACCATGTTTGTTGTCTAAAAAAAGCCATTTATGGTTTGAAACAGGTACCGAGAGCTTGGTTCCATCGCTTTAGCAATTTTTTACTCACAATTAGTTTCACTTACAGCAAAGCAGATTACAGTTTATTTGTTCATTCATCAGATAATGGTATCATTTATTTACTGTTATACATGGATGATATTGTCATCACTGGAAGCAACGTATCTCTCATTAACACTTTCATTTACAAGTTCCAGCAAAAGTTTTCTATGAAGAACCTTGACAATCTACATTATTTTTTGGGTTCAGAAGTCACTCAATCTCTACAGGGACTATTCCCAAGCCAAGTGAAGCATGCACGAGATATTCTCGTTAGGGCTAAACTTTATGATTCGAAGCCAATAGCAACATTGATTATTGTTTCTCATTATTTAACTTCTAATGGTCCTCTATTTCATTCACAAACAATCTATCGATCTTTTGTTGGTTCGCTGCAATATCTCACCATCACCGGACCATATATTACATATGTAGTAAATTCAATAAGCCAATTCATGCATGCACCAAGAGAATCACATTTTCAGGCTGTTAAATGAATTCTCAGATATGTTAAAGGCACTCTCCATTTCAGCCTCAACTTCCGTTCATCAAGTCATCTCAATATCTCGGCCTTTTCAGATGCTAATTGGGCTAGTTATCCAAAAATCAGTCGTTCAACTTCAAGGTATGCAATTTTTATGGGTGACAATTTGATTTCATGTACCTCTAAAAAGCACACCACAGTTTCTAAATCTTCAGCAGAATTAAATATAGAGCATTGGCACTCACTCACTGCAGCTAAGGTTAAATGGTTGTTAAACATTCTTCATGATTTACATATTCAGCTACCAGCACAACCGACTTTACTCTATGACAACACTAGTGCTATTTTCATGACTAGGAATCCACTAGCTCAACAAAGGTTTAGACACATTGATATTGATATTCATTTTCTTAGAGAATTAGTCTGCAATGGTATATTAATAGTTAAACATGTGCCATCCAGTTTGCAAATAGCATACATCTTCACCAAAAGTCCATCCAAATCTCTGTTTCTGCTGTTTCGATCCAAGCTTCGCGTGTTGCCAACTACACTTGACTTGAGGGCGGATGTTGGTGATAATAGCACATTACACTCTGGAGATAATCAAAGCAGCAATTTAACTAGAAAACCACTCCTGGTATCAAGGATCAATCTATGAAAATCAAGACGTTATGAGGAACTGATTAATTGTGTATATAGAATCTCAAATAGCTTTCCTTACAGAGCTGAGCTGATATTGTTATTATTATTAGACTGTAATAGTTTTCTATATAATGCAACATTCTACACCATAAGCATTAGCTGTGGTTTTCATTATTGTCTCAAACTCTTCAACCATGTCAGGATGCTCATTGGCCCTCTTAAAAACTACAGTACCATTTCTTCACTACCAGTATAAAAAATAAAATAACATAAATGTCATGTTTTCCAATTCTCCCTTGATTTGTTTGATTTTCCAACCATGTAGATAGAAGGATAAATTATTTAAAAAAGAGAAGCCTTTGCTTGTTTAGATAGCAGAATATTAAATTATTTCACTTGACGTTTTTGAATTAAGATAATTTCATTTAAAGATATTATTTTAAAAAGTGAGGCCTTTACTTGTTTAGAAAATTAAAGATTTGAAATAAAAGAAGTCGACTTAGTCTAATACATGGTTTGATGTGGATGTCTTATGTCTACTTGATCCATACCATACATGAGGGAACTGATGATTCTACCATCGGAGCATGAATCAAAGTATTACTTTGCAGCTTCAACCAGAGAAAATACACATAATCAACCAACAGGGAAACACTGGATATGCACATGATGCTTATTGGTTATCAACTTTAGACATCTTATCAATATTTCTTGATTTATCAGCAGTCAGATCAATGCCTGCAATTTGGTTCTGTAAATGGAATGTACATTGAATGTATGAAGTGTGAACAAATTTCGTCAAAGTTTGTCACAGGCCTGCAAAACCCCATAAACACAAGTGTCGTAAGAAAACCTGGTAGAGTGACAACAATGACTTGCAAATTGAATAAGAAATCCCTCAAGAAAATAACAGCTTTAGGAAGCATGACATACCTCAATGAGAAAACAACTGGTTGTCGTTGGAAAAATTCTTATATGGCCCTTTTAAGAGTGTTAAACACAAATGTTAAGGGCCTGAAAATAGCATCAAACTTGGAAGGAGAAATGAAAAAGACAAAAAAAAAAAAAACACACTCTATATTGTCTCCATTTCCACTTTGCAAATTCTCATTTGGCCCTTTTAAGAGTATTAAACACAAACCAAAACCAACTTTTGCAATTTGGATTGGATCAAGATTTATTATATAGGCATAGAATTTAGTTTCTGTACACACATGTTCATCGACTAAATTCCATAAAGCAAAATAGAAATTGGAAAGAAAACCAGAATGTCAAATGCATGCAGCGAAAAAGGTGTTATTATTTAGGAATAAAATTTAGTCTCTGTACACGCATGTTCATCAACTAAACTCCATAAAGCAAGAACATAAAGGCATTAAGAGACAACTTCAGTACAGTACCAGATCCAGCTTGTTCCATCCTTTATGACGATCCCAGCATTACTTACCTTTTCGGATTTATCAAACCCAGTCCAACCACCATACCTGCACAAAAATGATGTCAAGAGGGGGCTGAAAAGAAAAGGTTAAACAGAAACCAAAGTAGCATGAAATTTTGGTTTCAGACAAGCAGAACCTTCAGTTTTTTCTTAAAAAAAAAATAGGTGATTGGAGAAGGCTTTATTTTGTGCAGGTAGGGAAGAGAGATGGGGTAATCCGTCGTTTTGTTGAGGGCTGAACCCTTTCTATTTAATAGCTTTATTTTTTTTTAAATAATTTTTATTTAAAAAATATATTAAAATAATATTTTTTATTTTTAAAAATTTATTTTCATATTAATATTTAAAAACATGAAAAAACAAAAATAAATAAATGAAACTTTAATTAATTAAAAAATGTTACCAATATTTATAGAAAAAATATAATAATTTTATCGGATGAGATTTGTGTATAATAAAATAAATAAATATAGAGAAAGAGCAGGGATTAATAATAATAATAATAATCAGAGAAATTAAATGAAAGAAGCTGTTAGAAACCTTTATATTTAAGAATAGTAGCCTCACGGTGAAAATGCTCTAACCATCAAATATGATAAATTAAATAAATAAATAATACATAGTTTAATAAAATGATAGTAATAATAATAAAAATAAAAGAAATTAAACTAAGGAAGGAAGGAAGGAAGAGATTAAATACGTTCATTTATGTTTAATTGAAAAACGTTACCTTTCATACACCTAATAATATAGAGAGAGAGAGAGAGAGAGTATGGAATAATAAAAATAAAATAAAATAAAATAAAGGAAGGAAAGGAGAGGTTAAATACCTTTCATACACTTAAGTGTTTGTATGTTCGGTGAAAATACTCCTTAGTGGTAGTACCATCTCAATCCTTCACCCTTTACATAGCGACCCTCCTTTTGAATGTAGTAGCCATCAATTACAATATCTGGAATGTGTTTAATGTTAGAAGGCCACTCCTCCTCCCTCTCCTTTCCCCATCCTCTCGCTCTTCCGCTCACCTCTTCACTGCAGTCATGGATTAGCAAGAGTTGCAAAGAGGGAAGGTAGGGTATCATCCCTTGAGACTCAGATTGAGATAGCGACTTCAATTCTCCGCAAGAAGAGACTCGTAATCTCTGAAGAGAATGCATCCCCTCATCAGGCAGTGGCAGAGACTTCAATCTTGGACATTCGTAGATCTGTAGCTGTAGAAGAGAAGAGAGATTTCGCAGCCCTACTTCCGGAAGAGATTCCATGTCATCAATGAACCCCACACTTAGACTCTTCAATTTGGAGAGAGGGCGGATAAATGAAGAAGAAGAAGAAGAAGAATAAGGGACTGGTGATGTCATCTTCATTGTCTGCTGTAATGGCACTGAACTAGAGTAGGTCAATCGAAGATCTTCATCGAGAGCTGGAAACAACGGCATTGAAGTCAGATCTGGACATCTATAAATGAACAAGGAAGAAAGACGTGGAAAGACGTGGAAAAAAGAGCATTATCAACCCTTCTTCTATTGTCGACTCATCACTATCATCATTCATCTCATCTCTACTCCATCTCTTCCACCATCCCTTCAGTCTATCACAATAAGAGATACGAAGTTTCCTTAAGGATGGGAAAAACGTCGACGCTCCTCTTCCTCCATCCCCCTCACTATCTATGTACTCCAAATCACCCAATCCCTCAATACTTAATTCTTCAAGAGAAGGGATTCCATGTAAGGGAGGGATATGCTGAAGTCTGCTACAACCATCTAGACCAATCCTTACAAGATATGAGAGATTTGAAACCCAACTTGGAAACCTCATACCTCCGTAGCCTTCAATTCTCAGCTCTTGAAGACTCGAGTTTGGCTGGAGGCTTTGCAACATTTTATCATACAAATCAATATCTGAATCACTATCCAGCTCTGGGTCCCACCATACGGTTAACGACTGAAGATATTTTTTATCTATCAATCTAGCTCCTTCAAATTCTAATATACAAGAATTCCTCTCATATCCCTTTACTCTTATTTCTAGCCTTCCTCTCAATTCATTTAACATCCTCAACTCGTCCAATCCACCTATCATTTCAGATTTAGGACTCTTTTCTTTTGCAACCACAAAACATGACAACGTCTGTAGACTAGTTATTTTCCCAATCCCACGAGGCATATACTCTAAATTATAACATAGATCATCATCAAGAGTGCAGCCAACATCAAGATGCCTCAGATTGATCAGCTTAGTAATACCTCTTGGTAGTTCTTTAAGGCTCAAACAATCATTGAGCTTCAGCACTTGCAAATTTACCAGACTGGTGACAGAATTAGGAAGTGCCTCCATCTTATTATTCGAAAGATCAAGATATTTAAGGTGCTTGATCTTTTCAATGAGAGGTGACACTTCCTCCATTCCCAAATAACTCAAAACAAGCACACGCAAACGCCTAAAGTCTCGACAAATTGATACCCATGCCCCCTCATCCCATTCGCCACCTTCCAATAATACAAGTGTTCTTAGACGTTTTGCACAAGGCAAAGACAAATCTAATTCCGTATCAAATGACACGTGCCGAGTCAAATCACTAATCCTATTTCCTCCACGCTCCACTTTGATGCTCTGAAAACCAGCGACATGGGTTGCAAGATCATGCATAAAATCATGCATTTTGCAACTTTTTATATTACCTAATTCATCATTTTCCACTTCGTGAAAGAAGGACCTCCACAGTAAATTCTCAAAGCACCTAAGACCAACAATTTCTAAGCACTCACCCAAATTTGAAGAGCTAATAAACCCTTGTGCAATCCAAAGTCGAATCAATGATTTGACATCTATCTCATGACCTTTCGGGAATAAGCTACAGTATGCAAAGCAATGCTTCATATATGATGGAAGAGGATCGTAGCTTAACTTGAGGGTATCTATGATGTTATCATCTTTGACCCTATTTGGAAGTTCTTGTTGGATAAAGGGCAACCACTGGGCTCTATCTTTCAAAGACATTAACCTCGCAATTGCCTTTATGACCAAAGGAACTCCCTGACACCTCTCTACAATCTCTTTTTTTATTTTTTCGTCTATGAAATTTGACTCTTGACCTGGACCAAAAGCCTTGTTTGAGAAAAGAGACCACGAGTCCTTTTTAGAAAGGCCTTTTAACGCAAGTGGTATTTTGCTTGTTAAATTTGCAATGGTATCAGAACGTGTAGTTATTATCATCTTGTTTCCTCTAGCAGCCTCATGTGGTAAGGACTGCTTCAAACTATCCCACTTTTCACCATCTCGACCATCCTTATTATCCCACACATCATCTAATACAAGCAGGTAATTTCTATTTTCTATTTTTTTCTCAAGTTCATTTTTCAGACTCTCTAACTGATCAGAAACTTGACTAATACCTGCAGCCTCTGATACATCTTTGAGTATCTTTTTGACATCAAAACCACCCGAGACACTGACCCAGAGTTTCAGACCAAAATGCAAAATAACTTGTTCATCATTGAAAATACTCTGAGCAAATGTGGTCTTTCCCAATCCGCCCATTCCAACTATTGAGATGACAGAAACACTCTCAATCTCATCGTTGGGATTCAACAGAAAGCTCATAACTTTCTTTTTTTCATCTTCTCTCCCGAAAAATATCTCAGGTTCAGAAGAGGTAGTTGGCTCTCTAATCATAGTCGAAGGAGCTTTCTCCTCATAACGAACCTCAAAGTGAAATTTTTCACTCTCAGAAACAATTTCATCTAGCCTCTGCCTAAGTTCCTTAACTTTATGACCCATCTGCCAACCATACACAAGTTGATTTGACCCTGAGAAGAATGTACGTACCTCCCTCGATATTTTATTTCGGGACATCAATCTTTTTCGCTGCACTTCTGTTGAAAAATCATCCAGCAAATCTTCAGCATCATAGACGGCTTCTTGCAGCTTCCCAAGCCAGTCTTCAAGTTGAGCGGGTGGTTTCTGCACCTGCTCCTCAGCATCGTGGAGGACACCCCTAATTCTGGTAACCGTGCTCTTGAGCTTGCTTAGCTGATCTTTGACACCCCACCACAGTGCAATCTCCTGGGTAGCTAGTGGACCCAGTTTCTTTACTATTTCCTCCGCAATATTGAAGAGTACACGTTCAGCCATTATTTGTTCTCGGTGAGTTGAAAAGGTGTGTGCGGGAAAGAACAAAGAGGGAACAAAAGACAAGAAAAATGAAACGAATGGTGTTTGATTTTGTTGGTTTGAAAGTGATTGAGGTTTGGATTGAATGCTAAAAGGCTTGCGTTGTTGTGAAGATCAAAAGTAAAATCATGTATTTATAATAGAGAAACAGATTCCAAAATTTCCAAAACACGAAAGATATTAGAGATTCTACATGTACTCTCATGATCTCTGAATCCCTTAACTCGTCTGCACTCAACTAGTAGTTCCTTGCTTTGGTTTAGAAAACCATTCAAAGCATAATCTTCGTTCCTTCACATTATTCAAAAAGCTCGAGTCACGGTGAAGCAATGATGGATACCTTCCCTTTATCATACGATGCTTTATTTTCTTTCACCGAGATCAGTCATGGGGTAGGCCATTGATTGTTAATGCGGACCAACAATGTCATCAAAAGAGATGCTGATGCTTTCCTTTTTATTATTTCGTAATTAATTAGAACAAATTCCAAACTCTGCAAACACTCAAGCTATAAAGGACCTACGTGGTCTCTCTGGATCTCCAAATCGATCCATTAATTGATCTGCCCTCTCAACCAATATTTCCTTGCTTTGATTTTAAGAAAACCAATCGATATCACACTCAAGGAATCTTTGCTGTTTTGGAGTTCTAGCCGCCACAGTATTTCAAATCCCCTCCTCTTTTTTAATTCAATATATTGTATACAAAATTTCTCATAGATTCAACCTATTTTTCACAATTATACTACAAATTTATTTTATTTATAATAATAAAATCAAAATTATATTTTGAAGGTTTCGACAACCTATTAATTTGCAGAATGTTGATGTTAAGAAACGAGGATCTAACTTTGATTTTATTGTATTTATCACATTTATCTCGTGACTACATTGTTGATACCTTGTTATATAAAAGGAATAATTTTAATTTAAAAGATAACAAAGCTTTCTTAAACACTAAGAAGCTGAAAAAAAGAGTGTTAGAGAGTCATAATGATAATTGATTGATACTTAAAAGTGTATTTTTATCAAGGTTTTATATTATCATTTTGCACTTGAAGTATCAATAACTCCTTAACTAAAGCATGTTTTATAATAATATATCTAATAATATAAGATACTTTTAATTTATGGTAAATGTTTATTTTAAATGCAGGCCTATCACATAAATGAAAGGATTGATTGATAAATTTAAGAAATAAAATTAAAAGGACAAAGAGATGGTCAAACTTAGAAAAGATATGTCAGTGTAGTTCAAACCGAAACACTGTTCAGTAATTGGGGTCAAACTTAGAAAAGATATGTCAATGTAGTTCAAATCGAAATACTGTTCAGTAATTGGATCATATCTAGAGCTATAGATCTCATATTTAGGTCTACTTTATATGGATGGAAGGTAAGATATAGGCCTACAACTTTCATATGGAGCCTAAGATCTAAAAAGGTCATTTTCAAGTCCAGTAACAACAAAGAAGCCTGAATCTGTCTTCCAGCCCGAGCACTGTTCAGTATTTGGCCCATATCTGCAGTTCTAGAAATCTAAATGAGTTGAATTTTTTACAAAAAAAGACTGAGATAATTGCTTGCAACTTTCATGTTTTCAAGTGACTTCAATTTTGACATTATCAATGACATTTTGGGCAGACAAGAGAAGATAAGGATTGTCACCAAGTCAAAAGTTGGCCACCCACTTATCAATTAGTCATCAAATCAATAGTTCCCAATTTTGGCCTATAAAAGGAGGCATTTGCCATGCATTTAGGCATCTTGGTTTCCAGATCAAGATCATGCTCTTCCTTTCTCTCTTTGTATTTTTTGTAATGTTTATGCTTTGCTTTCATTAATATTAAGTTTATGCCTTTCATTTCCTTTCCTTTACTTAGTTAACTTTTATGTTCTTATTTTGTTTATCTATTTTGCTTTCTTTCATTATGTCTAGCTAAGTTAATTATGTCAAGGTGAAAAGGTTACACTAATGGTGTAAGAATAAGTATAATGTAAACTTAATATGGACTTTAATGTTTGATACTAACATGTTTTATATTTGTTATCTTGTTCACTCTTTTATTATTGTTATTTATAATTTGTACAATTAACCTCCCTATGGTTCGATCCTGGTCTTGTCGAGTTATTTATTACTTCGACACTCCTGCACTTGGGAGAAGACATCAATCCTTTAGTCGTGTCAATAATCATATATATGGTTTGATTGTGAGAGATAAAAACAATCATACATATGGTTTGATTGTGAGAGATAAAAACAAATAATAAAGGTTTAAATAGTGGAGGTGGGTTTAAATAAAAATCAAAGTCTAGAAAAACTAAATGTTTTGACATTCGGGGTCCTTCTTTTGTTATGTCAAAAGGTAGAGCATGATATCTACTGACATTTATCAATGACTACTCTATAAAGGTTTGGTGTATTTTCTAAAGAGAAAGAGTGATGTGTTCCTCTAAGTAGTGGAAAGTCTTAAATAGGAAATAGACTGGTAAGAAGATCATGCGCTCAAGAATTTATGATGGTTTGGAATTCTTCTTATGTGAGTTTAATGAGTTTTGAAAGAATAAAGAAATTGTTAGACATAACATTGTCACAAATGCACCATAATAAAATAGGATTGCTACATGATACTCTTGGAAAAAGCAAGTTGTATGCTTCCACAAACTAGATTGTCAAAGGACTTTTAGGCTCAAGTAGAGCAAGGAAATTCATATTTCTAGGTTATGCATACGAGGTGAAGGGATATTGATTATGGTGTATTGATCCCAAGTCACCTAATTTTATTACTAGCAGGGATATGATTTTTTTATGAGTCTGTTATGTTTTAGAAAGAAAAGGAATCGATTGTTATTGATGTTGAGACGAACCAAGGTACTAGCAAACATATGGAGATTGATGTCAGAACATTATAAACAACGCAAAAAGATGCTTTAACTGAGCCTGTTAAGAAAGTGGTACATGATATTATTGTTAAAAATATACTTGGAGAACAACCTTACAATATTTTTATAGGAAGAAAAAAAAGATAGATAAAAGCACCAATTAAGTATGGTTATTTTGATCTCATTTATTTTGCCTTGAATATTGCAAAGAATCTTGATGATATAAACCTTGTTCTTATAAAAAAGTAATTTCTTGAAAAAAAATCAATTATTCTTAATTGTTAATCAATTAAATATGTTCAAGTGCTTACAGTATTTATACATGTTTATTGTATTGTTGTAGAATAATGAGATACCAGTTTTTAAAATAGTAGTTTTCATTTGTTGAAGTTTGTTCGAGACAATGTATTATTTCACATTTCATGTTAAGACATGTGAGCGTATCCATTTGTGGTAATTTGTTTACTGTTGTATTTATTGTTTTTCGAGAGTTAACAGACTTGTATGAGAGCGGTAATTTGTTTACTGTTGTATTTATTATTTTTCGAGAGTTACCAGACTTGTATGAGAAATTGCTGGTTTTTACTGTTGTATTTTATCTACGAATTACGATGTTCAATGGTTAATGTTAAATGGTTGACCCTTTAATGGAATTGGTTGTTCATTTACCTTCACTGTTTTGTTCCTTGTCAAAACTGAGCTTGAGTGTTTTTGTTATAATGCTTGTTTTCTTGTAATATTCCAAGTGCCACAGGTGGGTCTAGGTACTGTGAGGTCTAAAAATTAGTTTATTCAGAAGATAGAAACCCTATTTGTAATTACTATTGGTGTTTTTTTCTTTGTTGTTGTGAGGTCTAATAGGACTATGCATGTTACTGGTGTTTCTTTCCTTAGCTGTATTTTTTTTTCATGCGTAGCTATTGTGAGCTTGTGAGGTCTAAAATTTGGTTTGTTTAGAAGATAGAAACCCCATTTGAAGTTACTGTTTGTATTTTTTTTCTTTGCTGCCATGAGGTTTTATAGGATTATACATGCTGCTGGTATTTTTTTTTAGCTATATTTTTTTCCATGTGTAGCTACTGTGAGCTTGTGAGGTCTAAAAATTGGTTTGTTTAGAAGATAGAAACCCCATTTACAATTACTTTTAGTGTTTTTTTCTTGGCTATTGTAAGGTCTGATGGGATTATGCATGTTGCTGGTGTTTCTTCCTTTTTTGAATGCTTGGTCTTGTTGTTGGTTGTTTACTTACTATGTTTTTATTCCTTTTCTATCGTAGGGCACTTCATTAACAGGAGTTGAGATTATAGTTGATTGTTGAAACTGTCATGGTGAAAAGTAAATAAAAAACAATCGTCCAAGAATCTTGAATAATAGAATGAGAACAAAACCTATGAAAGACTACATGTCAGAATGGTGTTCATGTATGAACTGTAAAATTAACATTATATGTTACTTTTACAGCATATACATATGAATGTACTTATGTTGAATGCTGAAAAATTGTAAAATAGACATAACCATCATTGAATTTTTTTTATATAAAGAGGAATGTTTGCATCATATTTTTCACTGAACTATCTTTCTTCATAACAAACTTCTCAAACCTTTTAATTGCATTTTATACAAGCAAATGGAATACTCCTTCTTTATTGGCTTTACAGGTATGGAAAAACTTATGTCGCTTAAACTCTTTGATAGTTTTTTTATTAAATGATATTTAATTATTTAAAGTTTGTTTATCAATAACATATAATTTTTTCTTATTTACATGTAATTGAAGTTATAGATGATCCACAGTTTAATGGCATATTTAATGAAGATTTTGATAGCAATTATGATAATGTAATAAACTGCATTGTAGACCACATTAATTATCCTAGTTGTGAAGGTAATGGTGCCTTAGTTGATAGTGCCGGAGATGACAGTGATGGAAACGACTCCGACAATAGTAATGAAGATAATGATGACGGTAATGGTGATGGTGACAGTGATGGTGATAGTGATGATGCATTTATTCTAAGGAGGCATTGACAGTGATGGTGATGGTGATGATGCATTTATTCTAAGGAGGCATTTTGATATGAAAAAATTAATTATAAGCATAGCTAGAGCTATAAACATATATTATATTAATTATATGTATAAAGAACCATGTATGGTTTTATATAGCACAGGGATGCGTTGGTTGATGGAGGTTTTAAGAGGTCTTTTGAAACGAAATATTAACATGTTCAGGATAAACGTAATCATTTTGTAGAGTCTATATACTAAATTAGAAACGCATCATGGCTTAAAACCATCAAGAAGAATAAGCGTTATTGAAAATATGGTAATGTTTCTATTTACAATTGTAGTTGGGGCGTCAAATAAACAAGTACAGGAAAGATTCCAGCATTCATGTGAAACTATTAGTAGATATTTTAAAGAAGTGCTTAAATCATTATGTTTGTTTGTTGTGAATGTCATAAAACCAGTAGATCCACAATTTACGAGTACACCAAGAGAAATTACTATAAATCCAAGATTTATATCACATTTCAAGGTAAAATGATTTTTTTTGTTTAATTAAATAGTTTAATTAAGTTGTTCGAAAAAGCATGAAATATGTTATAAATGTTTATAAGTACTTAATGTTTTTTGTGGCCTGTAAAATTGTATCGGTGCAATTGAATGAACACATGTCCATGCCTGTATACCATCTGAAAATCAAATTCTATTTATTGCAAGAAATGTACCAACACAAAATATCACTGTCACTTGTAGTTTCGACATGCAATTCATGTTCGTATGGGCAGGATGAGAAGGCAGTGCACACGATACATGTATTTTTCTTGAGGGTACTAACAATAGCAATATCAAATTTCCAAAACCTCTAGAAGGTTGTGATTTTGACTAAATTGAAGATTTGGTAATTGAAGGATTATAATTTTTTTTTACAGTATTGTTTAAAATTACTATGTTGTTATTATTTGCAAGAAAATACTATTTGGTTGATGTTTGATATTCAAACGAGTATAGGTATTTGGGTCCCTACAAAAGCGAGAGATATCACTTCCAAGAATTTAAGCATCATGGAACCAAGTGATCGGAAAGAAGTGTTTAATCGTGCACACTCATCACTACATAACGTGATCGAACGTTCTTTTGAGGCATGGAAACATAAGTGGAAAATTTTGCAAAACATGTCTGTTTATCCATACAAAACACAAGTTATGATTATAGTTGCATCAATAGCATTACATAACTATATTAGAAGGAGATCGCAAGATGATGCTGTTTTTTCTAAGTATGATAGCAATCCTAATTTAATTCCAGATGACTTTTAACCTGATATTGTTCATCGCTTGATTGTTCAAGGATCATAGAGGCCTTCACGTATGGATTTTATATGCAATGAAATTGCAAATAATTTGATGGAACAATAAAGGAGTACATTAATGTATAAGGATTTTTCATTTCGTTATGCAATCATAATTACAAAACACCTATGTTTTGTGTGTGTGTGTGTGTCCTTTTAAATAATTTTAAAATCAAATATAAAACACAAAGCATATTAACCAAATACAAGAAATTATTTTTTTATCTTAGTTTTAACTAAACATAAAACTTTTTTTCCACCACAATTTCAACTACAAATTTAACTAAACATAAGAAACCTCTTTTAACCACGGTTTTTACTAAATACCAACTTTTTTTCATTTTTTTTTAACCATGGTTTTTACTAAATACCAACTTTTTTTCAAAATGAATCTCATAAAAAATCCTTTTTATTAACCTGTTTTTTTCAAACCCCAACCATAAAATCTACCACTATACCAAACACGCATTAGTCCCACCAAAACCCTTAGTTTTTTTTAAATGTATAAAAATAATTTATTTTATTTTAAAAGATTTATTTTTTATATTAACATCTAAAAATAAAAAAATAAAAATTAACTTTTTACAGAAATCCTTTCCAACCAAAAAAACAAAGGACTTTAATTAAAAAAAATATTATGAAAAAAATATAATAATTTTATCTGAGATTTGTGGACAATAAAATAAATAAACAAAGAGAAAGAGTAGGGAATAATGATGATAATAATAAGGGAAGGAAGGAAGGAAAGAAGTGTTTAAAAACCTTTATATTTAAGAATAGTAGCTGCATGGTGAAAAAGCTCTAATCATCAAAAATGATAAATTAAATAAATAAATAATACATAGTTTTATGGAATGATAGTTATAATAATAAAAATAAAAGAAATTAAATTAAGGAAGGAAGGAAGAGATTAAACACCTTCATTCATCTAATAAATAAAGAGAGAGTATGGAATAATAATAAAAATAAAGAAAGAAAGGGAGAGGTTAAATACCTTACATATATGTAAGCATGTACATTCGGTGAAAATGCTCTAATACTTGTTAGTATCTCAATCCTTCACCCTTTACATAGCGACCCTCCTTTTGAATGTAATTCCTATCGATTACAATATCTGGAATGTGTTTAATTTTAGGAGTCCACTCCTCGCTCTCCTTTCCCCATCCTCTTGCTCTTCCGCTCACCTCTTCACTGCAGCCATAGATTCTTAAGAATTGAAAAGAGGGAAGGTAGGGTATCATCCCTTGAGATTGGTGATTTCATCTTCATTGTCTGCTGTAATGGCATTGAACTAGTGTTGTCCAATTGAAGATCTTCGTCGAGAGTTGGAAAAAACAGCATCGAAGTCAGATTTGGACACTCAGAAATGAACAAGGAAGAAAGACATGGAAAACAGAGCATTATCAACCCTTCTTCTATTGTTGACTCATCACTATCATCATTCATCTCATCTCTACTCCATCTCTTCCACCATCCCTTCAGTCTACGACAACTAAAGATAAGAAGTTTCCTTAAAGATGGGAAAAACACTCCTCTTCCTCCAACCCTCTCACTATCTATGTACTCCAAACATGTTGAGCTAGTGTGGTCTTCCCCAACCCCCCTATTCCAACTATGGAAATGACAGAAACATTCTCATCGTTGTTGGAATTCAGCAGAAAACTTTTAACTATCACTTTGTCTCCTTCTCTCCCAACTATTACTTCAGGTTCAGAGGAGGTATTTTGCTGCCTCACAGTAATCAAAGAAGCTCTCTCCTCATCACGAACCTCCAAGTGGAATCTTTTACTGTCAGCATCAATGTCATCTAGTTTCTCTCTAAGTGCTTTAACTCTATGACCCATCAGCAAACCATACGCAAATTGGTTTGATTCTGAGAAGAGAACACGTAACTCCCTCCATACTCTATTCCCTGACATCAACTGATTCCGCAGAACTTGTGCTGAAAAATCGCCCAGCATATCCTCTGCATCATACACAGCTTCTTGAGCCAGTCTTTGATTTGATGGTTCTGTTTCTATGCCTGCTTCTCAGCATCATGAATCACAGCCTTAATCCTGGTAACTGTGTCATTGAGCTTCCGCAATTGATCTTCGACCCCCCACCATAGTGCAGCCTCCTGAACAGCTAGGGAACTAGTTTCTTTATTATTTCCTCCGCAATATTGAAGAGCACACCTTCAGCCATTTTTTCTTTGTAGGTTCAAAAAGGAGTGGGTAGAAGACAAACTCAAAGGAGAAGAAGAAAGAATATGTAGTTGGTTTGGATTGGTGATCGTTTAGTATGCTAAAAGGGTTTATACAGTGAAGTAGATTCCGACGTTAACCAAACAGTACTCAAAGCGATGTGTGGATACTGCCTAAGCTACCAATAAATATCCCTTAATCCTTAGGTTTTGAGCTAAATTATAACTTAAGTCCTTTTGGTTTAAAAATCCATAACTTAATCTCTGGGACTTATTAAGAAAATGGCCTCCGAGTGTTGAAGAATTAAGCTGTAAATATATAGACTTTCAAATTTAAATGACTATATTGTAATAACATTCAAAGCCAAGGGACTACAGAATGATTTAGTCTTAATATTTATACTTAAAAATTAACTACTAGCCAAGGACTACACTTGTATTAATTATAGGTCCCAAGAACAAAGATTAAGGGGAAGTCGAAGTCTAAGCAAGCCAGCCAGTTATGACTTGGTTAATTAGCACTGATTCCTTGGAATGCTATAAGAGAGACAAGAATCATTAATATGGGAAATGTCCGGGAAGAGATCAAAGCTATGCATGGAAAAATTGATTGGTTGCAGACCAGGCTAATTGAATCGGTCACAGACCTGGAATAGATGGTTTGGAAGTAGTATTCATTAGATTAGACGGTATAATTTCGCAAGCAATTACGTTAGGTGGAGGAGGTAACCAAGATGTAGATGCTGCAGAGCAGAAGATGCAGGACCAGAAAATAGACCGCTTCAGTCTTCAGAAGATGCATGCTTTCCTGTACTAATATTTCATTAATTTAGACAGAATCACTATTTTGCAAAATCCGATGACCGGTTCACGTGAATACTGTCCCTATAGAGTCATTTAGATTCAATAAAACAATCTTTGTAAATATCATCAGGGAAAAATCAGTTCAATTGTTATTTGTCAGGAATTATCAGCTGCAATATATATGTACCGGTCTGTGACAAAGGTTTTCATTCGAAAAATCACAAATTGAGTACATGTTTTTCTTGGCTATGTATATCATGGAAAAGAGAAAACAAACAGGAATTATGTATTCTAGCACATTATCATCAATGTCTTTCTAAAGGCAACAATATCCACACGAGCTGTAAAGGAAATCTAGCAAACACATCGGCAACCTGAAAATTAAGCTTCATCAGTCAGGTTCATTTAGATTCATAGTCTATCACAGTCTCAAATGCCCCAACCAATGCCTTCACCTTGTTCTTTCTCTCCTCAAGTAGCTTATTCTTAGTTTCTTCGATCACATCATTGTATGCAGCATGAGATTCCTTTTTATTGCCTTGTACCACTTGCTTCTTTTGTGGCGAATTTGCATCATCTGGCTTTTCTTCTTCTTGAGCTTTACTCACTACTTTATCTTGTTCTTCCTGGGGCTCATGCTCCTCACTTCCTTCATTAAATTTGTTCATGTCTCCCTCCTTTTCTTCACCAACAGGTACTTCGGGTGAAACCTCATTTTCGTTAGCATTCTCTTCCACTTTCACTTGATCGTCAGCCTCAACTGCAATACCCTCCTCAAGGTTAGCATTAGTGTCGCTGCTTTCCTCTAATTTGCCATTATTTTCCTCTTCTTGTTGGTTTTCGCTTTCTTGATGTAACTCGGTTTCTGTTTCTTCAACCGGTTCTGCTAATGCGGGGTCATTACTAATTTCTCCTTCAGCAACTGTGATAATGTTAGAGCCCTTGAGCTTCTCATCTTCAGTAACATTGTTAACTTCACTTTCTTCAGAAACAATATGTTCTTCCTTGTTTTTTGCCTTTTGCGAATCAAAAGGAACTTGTTCCTGGCTCGCAGCATTCAGTATCTCTTCACTTTCATGAGCCAAAAAAGATTCTGCATTGATTTCTTGCTTAGTTTCAAGGTTTTCCAAACTGATAGGCTCTTTCGGCAAAACAAGAGCATTACTCGCTTTCTTGGTAGAGGGACTAATGCTCCTCCTCGTGGTCCTTGTAGCCAGTGGCTGAGATTTTCCTGGCTTATGTGCTGTGGCATTCCGGTCGAAGACAGTTTTTGATGAAGTAACATTTTTTGATGAAAAAGATGAAGATCGGGCTGTGCCGATTAATCTTTCTCTACCTGGTCTCTCTTTAGAATCTGCAGAGGATAGTGGCTTATCAAAGGATCTTCTTCTAAGAAGAGCAGGCTTTTGTGATGTGTCTTCATGGCCAGTTTTCTGAACTTGTTTTAAGGACTCAGGTCTTGAGCTAAAAGTAGGCTTCAGGTAGTTTGGGATTGGTTTTCCTGATGGGGTGCTGGGATTATCCTTGTTGGTTGAGCCTGATGAAGGGCTGGCTGGTCTTGAACTTCCTTGCCTGCGAGTACTTGTGTGAGGATGTGAAGTGGGTGTGACCTTCTCCCTCTTCTGGGCACCCTTGCTTGCAGTTGTTGCCATATAAAAAAATTCTCAAAAAATCCTGCATTATCAATTGAACCCACGATCTGTAATGAGTTTCTCAATTTCTAATGTGCACATATAAATACTTCTTGTCATATTCTACATTTTAGGATTCTATTTCCAATAAACAAGCAGGTTTTTTACAACAGTGTCCAATCATAGAAAATCCTGCTAGAATGGAAAGAAATTATTTGTTTGGTTTCTTGCAAGACAAACAAATTATAAACCAAGAAACAATACAAATACAATAAAGATTGACATTAGAAGCGAAAAAGAGAGGGAGTGATGTCCTGAACCACAAGCAACATACCTTGACCAAGGCAAGGAAATGGGGCTAGGAGGAGTGATGTTGTTATACTGCTATGCCATGAGAAAGAAAAGGAGGCCAGAATATGAAGAAATTAAGGAGAGGAAATATGGTTATTGGGATTGATAAAGGAGAGTGAATTGCGCAAAACAAAAGGAGAAATGGTGGTGGCTTTGGTTGTAGAGATAATGGAAGGCCATGAAATCAATAGTGGTAGATCATCAACATCAAGCAGCCGAGACATGTGGCGGAGGGAATGTTGACCTTTTCGATGCTTGACAACTACATTATTCTCCTCTTTGGTACTCACGTACATGTAAGAGATTTTTGGTTGAAATTAAGTTGTTAAAGGAAAGATTATCAAGTGTGAGCAGTTTCTTTGGAAGGTACGATCAATAAAATACATCATCTAGCATCATTTTTTGTTGAGGAATTCTAATTAATGAAATATATATCTAGGGATAAAATTGCTATAGGAAATTGTTTGCGAACAAAATTGATATTAACCCACTACTTGAGGGCTTCTTGGAAAAAATAAGATCCTAAATTGAAGTCAACAAGGTGGTCTAATAATTATGAGATGGCTTCTTAGCCCTCGAAGTGGTCTCTAGTGATTATTATTATTAGATGTAGACTCTAATGAATAACAGCACCATTTGTGATTTGTGGAGGAGAGTGATCTCATTTGAATGAGATCACCATGGCCCAGAAAATGTCCACAAATTGCAAATTAAGCTCACCTTTTTAGTTCTCCCTTTGTTTCCTTCCCCTATTTGATAGAGAAATTCACCAACCAAAACAATTCCTGTGTGTGTTTTTTCAAACTATATCATAGTCATTAATTCTAATTTGGCTATGTAACTTAACCCTAAAGTCAACCTATCTATCCCCTTACTTGAGTTGGATGTCAGGGGAAAAAAAATCCATTAGAATCTTATTTTATTTTTATTTAAAAAAAAATCAATTTTAGATTTAAAATTAAAAATAATAATAATATCACTGCTTATTTGGATCAACTTATTCAACTCATCATCTAAATATTTCTAAGCATTGGGCTACGCTAAGTTTAATTATTATGTTGTGTATGCTTCAAATAATATATATAAATTAAGGATAGTACAATATTTGTTGGTGATAGAGGATATTTTTGAACCAATCAATATTAATTTTCCATTAATTATTTTAAGAGCACTTCCTTCCAATTAACTTCATAAACTTTTAAAAAATAATTTATTTGATAAAGAAAAAACTCTTCTTTGTCTCATTGCATTTGGCAGTTCATGGTATATATTGGGTCATAAATCTTTGTATGTGTGTGTGTATATATATATATATATATATATATAGTACACACCTAAATCTTCAAAAAAAAAAATCCAATATAGGGAAAAATCCAAATCATAGTTGTAATAACAAGAAAACCACAGGCACACTTGGCTAATGGATGGCTAGCTAGCATTCCTATGGACAATACACGTCTTCTTGGTAGATAATTTAGTGGTTCCAAACTTCAAATTTGTCAACTAGCTAACACAACTTCTCTCCCTTTCTATATTTTCTAATTACAGAAAGAGATAAGAAACATAAAAAAAGGTTGACATAGACAAGCTTTGAAACCCAAAAACATGAGGCTGGTTTTGTTGAACAAGTCACCCCCTTGCTTTACCACTTAGGAACACCAGCTTAGTTAGGATGCAAAGCCCCTTTAAACCCCACTTGCCATAAGCCAATTGGGGCTCGTGGCAACTTTCTTGAGGCTTTGTCCAAAGGACATACCATCATCGAATGTGACTTGCCACGCATGGTGGCTGCTTATGCCAATTTGTGCTTAATCTTTGGGTTGCCAATGGCCGTGTATCCTCTGTTGACATTATTTCTTTCTTTCCTGTTTGGGTTATTTTCAACATTTTTATAAGAAATATCAATACTGTTTATATATTATGTAAATATATGATATTATAAAGTAGTAATTACTCAATCTTTGGACCAAAGTTCAACGGTGGTATTTAATACAAGAGAAATGAGTTCTAGTTAGTTCAGGTCTAATCGTTTTCATCAATTTGTCACTGGTTTTGAAAAAACAAATTGTTTTTTTATGAAGTTGGGAAACTTGTTTGTTTTTGTCAATTTTTTCAAAAATAAACAAATAATAAAATAATGTTTAGTTACCACTTGAGATAGAAAAAACAAAGATAAAAAAGATATGTTCTTTGTATTTCCTATTTTTTAAAATGATAAAAATCTATACTAAATTTATTTTGTAAATAAATTTATTTCATATCTCTTTCTTGCTCTTTTAATTAAAATTATATTTTCCTTTCTTATTTTTTTTAAATGCAAATTTTAATTTTTTTTTAATTTTAGAATTAGAAGAACTACCTTTTTAATAATACCAAATGACCTTAAAAAAGTTATTTTGTAACAGAAGACTTAAAACTTCCTTTATATATATATATATATATAAGGGAGTACTTTTCAATTGCTGGAGAATCGAAGCCCCACTAGCGACTACTTTGTATGCTGTGGGGTCTGGAAGCTCAATCAGAGGTGGTGATGGCCATTTAGGACAAAACTGTTGATGGCCAAAACAATAGTTCTTTCTTCCTCCACGTAGCATCGACTCGGGACTGTTTGGTGGATTATTTCAATTTCAAAAGAAAAATCAAAATAATATTATTTTAACTTTGTCAATTCCTTCATTTATTTTTCATTTAACTCAGATCAGTTGAAGCTCTACACCGATATCTAACTTTCTAAGCTAATATATATTTTGATCATCCCAATATATATATATATATATATATATATATATTGGGATGATCAAAATATATATTAGCTTAATAAGCTACTTTTGTCAACATAATGAAATTACAAATACCTCTCAACAACAGCAACAAATCTCATAATTTATGCCGTCCTCTACTAGCTAGAGCATAAAGAATATTGTTTTTATTCTATTTTTTTAAGAATAAGTTCATTTTTTAATGATAAATAATTGATGAGTCCCGTGGTCTCTTTACTTGACCAATAAATTTATTTCTTATATTTTAATTCCAAACAATTACATGTTTTATTATATTTTGGAACGACATTCTAACAGTACACTTGAGAATATATCGTTCATCTCTCTTCTTTAATTATTCTTAGAAAGAAGTTTTAAGCATGTTTTATCATGTGACTTTTTTCACTTTATTTTTTTCTTATTTTTTTTAGTAAATTTTTTTTGTTAAATTAAAGATTTTATTTCATTAATTTCTATATATTCTTAAATATATGTTTTAAGCATGTTTTATTACAGCCCTGATATCTAATTAACTCCTAACTATATTCATTTTGATAATATTTTTATAGAAACTTACATTTCTTTTTATTGTATAATAAGTGCCATCTTCTCACATGATCACATGATTATATCATTATTTATCTTGACTGTTTTAGTAAGAATCTTATTTTTATTGACAAGACTTAGAAGTAAAATAAAATTTGAAAACGTGAGAGACATATACAGTGGAAAATGTCCTCATCAGCCTCTCTTTCTTTTTTTCTTTTCTTTTTTTATAATAAACAAATATATACAGGGAAAAATAAAGAAAGAAAATAATTAGTAAATGGGCCATTACCCCTTGGCTCGTAAAGAAAGTGATGGATGGACGAAAATCTAGGTTAGGAGGATCAAATTGCACAATTTCAATGGCTTATCTAGCCTCTTCAGGGCCCTCAATTCAAGTCACTTCATAGCAAGTAGAAAATTATCCATCCATCAAATAATTAATTAATTAATTAATTTGGGCACTATAGATTAATAACAACCACAGAAAAGGGTCGTGTGAGTTTCCAAGATGGAAACACTTTGAATTGCGATATTTAATTAATTAAATACTCGCATGGTTGAAAAAAAAGGGGTTTGTAAATAGATTTCTTGGTTTTTAAATCCGCAAGACCAAGAAATATATCAACTATTTTCTCCTTTTTTTATATAAAAAATTCTTAAAAAATAAAGAATATTATAACCTCATAATAAATAATGACTAGATTTACTATAAGAAATAATTTTTTTCAGTAAACAATTTTGTATTTCATACTATATATTTTTGTGACTATTAAGATAGTAAAAAATTTTAATTTCTATATAAAAAATACATCTAGAAAGAATCTATACCAGCTTGGATATGAATTTTATTTCAAATCTAATTAAGAAAATATTTAATCTCAATGTTTGAAAATACCCTGACACGTACCGTATCACCAAAACAAAAAAAGAAAAAGAAAAAGAAAATTGAGACATAGAAATAACACCTATGAAAAGGGAAAAAACCAGCAATATTTTTGGATGCAAGAATAATTTTTTATTTGAATGATAATATTTATTTTCATGATCCAATAAAAGGACAATTTAATTTTTCTAATAAATAAAAAAATAAGTAAAATATAAGGTTGTGTAAGTTAATATTCTAAAATAGAAAAAATAGATAGAAAATGAACAAAAACATGTTTAGCTAAAGAGTTGAAGAAAAGGATATAAAAATTTATTTTTTTATAATAATTTTAAAATAAATCTTTACATTTTAATATAATAAAAAAATATTTTTTCTACATTATTTATTTTTATTTTTTTTATCCGAAAATTAACGAACGTGCCGTGGCGATGTGCGGTATTCTTTTTCCATCCACAAAAATGTCAAAAAAAGAGCATAAATCAGTAAGTGACGTCAAGGTCATCATTAGCCGTCGATCTTTGACTCCCCCCGCACCCCCCGTTTAATCCAACGGCCATACAGGCCTCACTCACTTAGCTCTTTTTTAATTTAATTAACTAATCAATCAAGTAGTAAATAACTAGATCACGGATAAAAATATATTTTTATATATAAAATATTAATTTTATTATGTGAATAAATAATGTTTATAATAATTTTAATTTTTATACCAATGAAAAATAAATATATTAAAAATATCTAATAATTTATCTTATTATAGAGGTTAAATTCTAATTACTATCCATAATCAATACATCCTACATATTACAATATAACTTATATTAAATCAATCATTGCTTTTAAAGAAATTGAATTAAGATACGTGAAAAATAAAATTAAAAAATATATATTCTTGTTTAGTCATTATTAACTTATTATTCAATTATTAAAATTAAAATTGTGTTGGATCAATGTTACATGACATAAAAGATAAATACATA